GAAAATTATGTATCTCCTCATGGCAGTGTTTTAAAGTAAGTAAACTCTGATTTTTTTTTTTTTTGTAAACTTTGTGAGTCATTTGAAGTTGAACTCTTTTTAGTCTGTTACTTTTGCTGTTTCCCCATCTATGACAGTGGATTTCAATCAGGGAGTTGAACAACCCTTTCACAGGGGTCATGTAAGATATTTACACAGATATTTACATTACAATTCATAGCAGTAGCAAAACTACAGTTATAAAATAGCAATGAAAGTAAATTTATGGTTAAGGTCACCACAATATTAGGAACTATATTAAAGGGTTGCAGCTTTAGGAAGATTGAGAACCACTGGTCTATAATAACAGAGTAGTTAAGTTGTCCAAGGTCTTTGGCTTCCTCTTGACCATTTCTCAATCCTGGAGATGCCACTTGGGCACTTCCTGATTCTTAAAGCACAAATTGGAATTCAGTTCAAATGACCACATTTCTAAAGTTCAAAAACAAGGAGGAAAAAGTAGAGCAATTTTCTGTGTATTCCAACATAATGGAAACAAAGGTAATATAAATTAAAGTGAACCCAAATAATAACAGTAAATTTATATGAGGTATCTTACTTTTGAAATGGATTCTTGTTTATTTATTGAAGTTGACTCATGAAACTGCTTAATAATGAATAATTTGTATTTATTTTTGACAATCTGTGTTTTCTGCAGTGATTCCTTTGAGGTGCCTAAGAACACATGAAGGACCTCATCTTTATTTTAAATAAACTTAGAAAAACAAGTTAATCTGAACAGGTGGGGCACATATTGAGTGGGAATATCTCAAGCAGAGAATTTTCTAGTTTACCAGTCCATGTAAGCTATTTGTGAAAAGAATATCTGTCTCCTTGAGATAGATCATGTGTCACTTTTGGTTTCTATGAAAATAATTCCCAGTGAAACAATTTCAGAGCAGAATGATTTATTTTGTCTCGGAGTTTCAGAAATTTTGGTCTGAGGTTACTTGGATCCATTGCTTTTAGACCTGCAAATAGTGAACTAGAATATCATGGCAGAGTGTGTCCCCTCCACTCCTGACTCCCCACCCTAGCATCCCCCCACACTGGGACATCCAGCCTTCACAAGACCAAGGACCTACTCTTCCACCGATGCCTGACAAGGCCATCCTCCCGTACATATATGGCTGGAGCCATGGGTCTTTAAAAATAAAGTTTAAAGCAATGAGAAAAAATTTAAACAAATACATATAAAAGTAAAAATTTTAAAGATTAAAAAAAGAATATCATGACAGCCACTTATTTCTTAGTTTCTATGAAAGAAGAAAGAGAGGGAAGTGATAGAGAAATAGTTCTCTCTCTCTCTCTCTCTCTCTCTCTCTCTCTCTCTGTCTGTCTCTCTCTCTCTCTCTCTCTAAGGGGATACTCCTAGTGACCTGTTTCCTAATAATACATAATACAAAGTATTGATTCACTTAATAAAGTTATCTCCCTCACAGTACAATCATGTCTCAATATAACCATTAGCTGAGGACAAAAATAGTCAAAATAAGAGCCTTTTGGAGGAATGCTTTACTTCAGGAACACAATAGATTATATAGATATGCCCTAGCCTGTTGCAGGAGGTATTAGAAAGATGGCAGTTTGCTTCCAGGCATTGCTGCCAGCCCAGCTCCCATATGTAGCCAACACCGACCAGAGCTCCAGAGTTCTAGAATCTCACCACCCAGCTCTCTAAGTCCCTACTAGTGGGTCACTACCACTCCATTCCCTTGCTTCAAAACCCCACGGCCTTTGAGGGGCACATCATGTAAACCCAGGCTTTGTAGCCATACCTTTCTCTCTGGAACTCGGTCGAGTCTAGTCTCCGCAAGAAGAAAAACACCATACAGAGTTTACAAACAAAGGTAACTCAATCTCTGAGTGCAACAACTAAAACCTAAGGGAAACTCTACTACTACATCTTGTCCATGTGCTCACCCTGTCCAAAAAGACCCTCTCTCTCTCCTCCTCCTCCTCTCTTTCCATGTCTAGCCAGGATCCTCCTACTCTCCCAGTGACTGGCTCCTCTATTCATAGGATATTGGTTTACAAGAAGTCACCTGAATATGTGAATCACTCCTTGTCTGCAGCCCTCCCAGGAGAGCTGAAGTTAATATCAAAATGCAGGCAGCAGAGCTATCCACAACACTTGCCAAATCCCATTCTTTATTCATTAAATACCTCCTGGAAAGACAGTACAATGTGTGCAATTGGATTGTAGGTGTTTTTTTAATTACTTTCTGAATATATAATGAATATTATAATGGTTGAATCTTTGACTTCCCAATTCTGGAAAAGACTGCTCTTGGAGAATGAAAACCTTGAGGACAATAAGAAATGAAATAAATTGATCTGGCCATAATTTCTCATCTAAAAGTGAAGTAGTGGAATTCACAACTGTAAACATATATTCAGAATAAATTATATAATGCTATCAATGTCAGGCTAAGGAACTGGAATTCTATTTCATAAGCCTTCAAGGTATACGAAAACCTTGAGTGCAGTAGAGAGAGATAATCTGCCAAGCATTTTAGATTTCTTTTTTAAAAATTCTATTTTTCTTCTAGTAAACATGCAAAATTAGGAAAATTGCCATTCTTTTAATAAAGTGCATTTGTCTTCTCTGTGGGTTGTTTTATGAACTGCATCATCAGCAACTCTGCAGCTGTGCTTCTCTGGCTTTTCCTGAACGTAAACACACTGGGATCTTTGATGAGGTTGAACTAATGCTGATACTACTGATAACCTGTACTTACTATGTATGTAGTCTATGAACTTTGTCTCATAGCCTAAAAGTACACATCTTTTAAAGGTTTCTCATTTCATAATTAGATTTTTAAAAATTTATTTATTTTTATTCTTTAATCTTTAGGGTAGGAATTAAGAAAAAGTCCCCAGTTTCAAAGCAATATTCTCATTCCCTCCCAAAGATTTCCAAGGTAGGGAATATTATTTTACATGCAGTTGACATGTCAACATGGATGGGGGACAATTCACAAGGTCCTACCCACAGGTGAAGAGCTGTAGATAATATCTGATGAGAGAGGGTGAATCAATCTTCTTCAGGGACAAGCTCCGCAATAGGTTATCCTGTTCCAAATTTTACATTTAAACAAATGCACATTTAAGCAATACTAAATGGACTTAGAAGAATATATGTATATGTACATATGTTCATCATATTCTATACAACATAATTGAGAGTGAACAGGGATGACATGGGAGGAGTTGAAAAGAGGAGAGGTGTAAATTATTTAAATACAGTGCTCATATATGAAATTCTCAAAATAAACTAATTTTAAAAAAGAAATAAGCCATCTATAAAGTAGTGACAGAACTGACAGTTCAGTTATTTGATTCTAATTTTCTGAAAATACTACCAATATATTTTTAGGATTAAATACATTATTAAATTTGCTTGACTCACAGATAGTGCATTGGCAGACCAATTTTTTATTCTTTATGGAAAACTTCATTATCTTCTTTGATCTAACCAACAGTGATAGGTATGAAGAACAATGGCTACAGCTATGGGATCCATCTCAACAATTGACTACATGTTTAGTTTTATACAGTATCTTTCTTTCATTGGTACTAATGTCTTGAGATGTTTCCTAGGTAAATTAAAAAGGAAAAGAATTATGTGATTTGTAAGGTCCTCAACTATCATGATGTACTATTATCCTAAAGTACCTTTGGATAAACAAAAGCTACAATATCATGTTCTATTTAAGTTATTGAAGAGAAGGTTCAGATTAGCATTCTACTACAAATCAACATTTGATTCACTTTGCAAGAGAAAAATGTATCAGTAACCAAGTAAAATCAGAAAAATTTACTGAGAATGTTTTTGCTTGTACTTAGTATTAACTTTTTATTAGTTCTTTGAGAATCTTGATCAAGTATAAAATCATAGAGAAATATACTAAGAATGTTTTGAGGCTGTATTTAGAATTTTTTAAAAAGTTCAGTGAGAATCCTAGTGTGTCTTTATTATACCCAGTTACTACTCCAACTCCTTCCAGATCCTCTTTTCTGTACACATTCAATCTTGTGTCTTTCCCCTTGTTTTATTTTTACAACTTTCAAACAAATCTGCACTGCCCATATATTGATGAATATGTAGTCTTCCCCTGGAGCATCATGGATATATCAGGGGCTACATTCTAAAAGAAAATTGATTTTCTCTCTCCCAGCAGTCACCAACTGACAATAGTTCCTCAGATAGGCGTTTAAGTGTTACAGCTTGAATGGAAAGATATCCTGGAAGTCAGGAGCCAAGGAATACCACAAAGTCATATTGCACAACAAACATCAAATAAAATATTTATTTGGAAGGAAAAATCTAGGAGGGTGACTGCCTATGTTTTTTTGAGAAGGAGCAGAGAACTGGATAGAACATGTGTTTTATATATGGTTTCTTGAATAGGGGTACTTTTCAGGGTCGCCTTGGATTGGAAGAATTAGGTGGCCTGATCTTGGGGCAAGCTTTAGTTCTTGTAGCTTTAGTATTTTCTAAACTCCTACTGGCTTGGTTGCTCTGTCTTTATATGATGGCAACTGAGGGTAGTTCAAGGTTTTGTCTGACTTCTTTTGTGATCATTTGTCTCTCTGGACTAGATTGGAGGTAAGTTCTCAATAATAATTTTCTTCATTAATTTGATCAATCAAATGTCTGCCATTTATTGTTTCCAGTAACATTGTATCTAGGATTTCTGCATGTATTTTTCTGTTGCTTAGATGAAGCTGGAAAATGTACCTGGCAAATTTTATGCAAGTGTAGAAGGAAAAGTTCAAGTTTTGAGTACTGTTCTTTTCCTACACAGGCAATTATTGTAGCAAATAAGAATTGTTTACTCTGTGGGTCAAGATGTACAGCTATTAAATTTGCCTGGTCTACTTATTGAAATCTTCTAGAATTCGAATGTTTAGTCATGTAATTGTTTCCTATTAAGAACTCTTATTTTTCTTTGTAGACTTTCTCCAAAGCATGCCCCAGATATTCCTGATGATAGCACAGATAACATCACTATCTTCACTAGAATCTTGGATCGGCTTCTGGATGGCTATGATAACCGGCTGCGACCTGGACTTGGAGGTTAGTTACTCTTTTAAAAGCCTTTTGCTAAGATATTGACCCTTAAAAATGTAATAATTTGCCTTCTGTTGATCAAGGGACTTAGTCTATAGTTGAGTTTCTTCCCTCTGAGCATCAGGATTTTATTCTGATCTTTTACTTCAGCAACTGACCTGTCATCTGTTTTTGGAGAATTTATTAAGGAAGACAAATATATTATGCTATGGACTATCTTGAAGGGAAGGTATGAAGGTATATGCTTTTAATTCACCCCAAACAATTTGATTGTCACTAATTCTGTATTCTTTTATTGCTAGAGACTTTATTACATACTTCCATAAAATAAACTTTTATAAAAAATACACATATAACTTAACCTAATCTAATTTTAATTCCATATCAACATTTTCTAATTATAATCAAAATGTTCCTTAAACAGTCGCCCTTGATTTGGATTTTCATCCAGGCTTGAACGTCATCATTCCTCTTCAACATATAATCTGATAATAATCTTTTAATCTCTTATGTTGTTGCTAGGGTGTTCCTTATATGTTTTCGGGAACTAATTAGATCTTCCTTGAAGAATTATTAAAGACTGTGTGTGTGTGTGCATGTGTGCATGTATGTTTGATTTTTAAGGTTGATGTCTACCAAGTTGCACACCCTAGAATTACCATTTTTAGCTTATATTTAATAGGTAATGTATTGCAATAGGCAGTGCATTGAGACTATTCTGATTGCATTTTTCAACTTGTATCAAATAGTTTTAACAACTATAAATTACCTTGCATAAATAATGACAGTGAATTCCATTATTCCTGTACATTTTCCAGTGGGCAGTTTTAAAGGCACAGTATTTCTTTTCCATTATCTAATTAGATAATCACTTGTATGAATTTTCTTATATTATAAGCTGCATTTAAAAATGATATTCATTTTGGTGAATTATTTTTGCTTCCAATTTGTCATATTTTTCTACTGTAAATTATTTTGGTTTGGATTCTGTGTTCTTTTGATATGTTTCTCCATATTTTAAACAATTTTTTAATAGAAGTCATTCATTTTAGGTTTATCTTGTGTGTTGCCTGATTCAGTCTACTAATCAGTCACTTTTCCAGAATAGATCCTTTGTGAGGAGTTATATTTAGAATCTAGGTGTTCTTTTAGCAGCATCATTGCCTCTGTTGGTTTCACTGAGCAGTGCTTAGAAAATGGTAAACAGACATTCATGCATGCATAGACAAGCCATATAGGTAACTATATAGTTATAGATACATTTATATAATATATATGTGTATACATACACATATATATGTACCTAAGTATATATACATATAAATGTAGGTGTTTATGTGTAGAGCATTTATATTCATAATTCTACTTCCAGCTCAGCATAGTAGTTTTAACTGTTATGTTGACTCAGCCTTTCAAAACACTTTCAAGTCACTTTTGGAATTACTACACCCCTACTATTATAATACACATTTGTTAAATAGATTAAAAGATATAGTTGCAGGATTTTATCATTTGTTTTTAGAATGTCTATAGGAGAGTTGTGGGATACAAATAATGCACTGAGGTAGGATAGTATTGGAAGAAGAAATTCACCATACATTAATTGTATTTATCCTTGATTGGTGATTAGGGGAAAGAACAGAGTACCTGACAGATTAGTGTTAGAAAAGTTGGGTGTAGGGGGAAAAACCACTGCTTTTTATTTTGTTCTTTTGGAGTTGTTGAACAGGAAAGGTAGTATAAAGGAGAGAAAGGAGTCATGAAGTGGTGGAAGGAGATAACCTACACCACAGAAGGCCCCTTGACCTTCAAACACATATTATGTAATATGTTCTCCCACTCACAAAATATGTAATTGTCTGTTAAAAATAAATGTCAAAAATAGGAAATGAGACATACTAAATTGAAATTAGAGGGACTTGATTTATCTTCTCATCTTACACAGCAACCTAGAAGTGATTAAACACATTGATCAATGTTCTTCGGAAACCAAACAAAGGTAGCACGTGCAAATTATCATTAAACTGGGGGGAAACAAAGTGAGCTTCACCTGGGAGCTGCCAACTGCCTGCGAGCAGCCCTAATGATACTGCCTACAGGAGCTCCTTAGTGACAAGACAAAGGGAGAAAAACTGGAGGAACTGAGAATATATTAGTCTCTTCAGTTTCGGAGATGTAATCCTTACTACCAGGAACATAAAGAAGTAGCATGAGTATAGGGAGGAGGTAGGTAAGGAGAGAAAGAGGAAGAGAAACAGCAAGACAGAGAACCAGAGAGAGGTCCAGAATTCAGCAAAGGATTCTCTGCAAGTTTTCAGGCAAGTATTGTCAGGTTATTTATACTAGACAACAACCTGAGGTCAGATGAGAGTCAACTGAAAAACAGGGAGGAACAATGGGGTTGAGAATAACTTATGTTTCTACTAAATCCAGCAAAAATTCTAATCAAAGTATAATGAACAAAATACTCATGGGAGGAAATATGGACACAAAGTGGGAGCAGTGACTGAAGGAAAGGCCATTGAGAGATTGCCCCACCTGGAGATCTATCCCATATACAGACAACAAACCCAGACACTATTGCTGATGCCAAGAAGTGCTTGCTGACAGGAGCCTGATATAGCTGTCTCCTGAGAGGCTCTGCTAGAGCCTGACAAATACAGAGACAGGTGCTGGCAGCCAACCATTGGACTGAGCATGGGGTCTCCAATGGAGGAGTTAGAGAAAGGACTGAAGGAGCTGGAGGGGTTTGCAACCCCATAGAAAGAACAACAATATGGACCAACCAGACCCCCCAAGAGCTCCCAGGGAGTAAACAACCAACCAAGGAGTACACATAGAGCAACCCATGGTTCCAGCTGCATATGTAGCAGAGGATGGCCTTCTCTGGTGAGTGGGTGGGTGGGAGAGTGACAGCGCTGGCACTGCCCGTGGTACCAAGCTCAGGCGTAGTCCTGGGGATTAAAGAAATACTCAGACTCGGGTCATCTGTTGTGAGAGAATGCCAATGCCTTTACTGAGCAGGTTCAATATATACACCAAGCCAGGGAAGGAAAAATACAAACTCAGGAAAAAACAGGAACTCAACTGGGGGGCAATAGGATGTCAAGTGTAAATTCCCTTCCTGGGGCACCATTCCTTAGTCAGGATGTTTTGATCCTAGAGGAACCGCAAAATGTTAGTTAGTAGACAGCAGCATATGGAAAGGCTCAGCCAGGGCATAGCAGCCCTTCGGGGTCCTACAGGAGAGTACCCTCATAGAAGCAAGGAGGAGGGGATGGGATAGTGGGTTTCTAGAGGGGACACCAGGAAAGGATATAACATTTGAATGTACATAAATAAAATATCCAATTTTAAAAGAAGAATTTTCAGAAGGATAGGCACTCAGTGAGACTCAGTGGTATTCTAAGACTAAAAACTGATCTAATTATAAATACTAAAGCTTAAAGTTAAGCTTCAAAAGAATAAAACAGGTCAAACCATTTACATGTAACTTTAACAGGATACCATAACAAATGTCAAGAATATATGTGTTTATAGTATAAAACCTAATAGCCAACAAAGAATACTTCACTATGGCTAGTGTCCAGTCAAAATTCATTTAGTATGAAAAAATTATTAAAAATAAAGAGATAACAATTAGTGCAAGTTACATATGTGACTGTGTCAATGTCACTGGTGAAAGAATTAGTAAATGAAGTGTGGTAAAATAGTTCTTACATTTGCATTGAGAATATTAAAATAGAATCAGAAAGCAGGAGGAGGTTGAATAAAGACATCAGTCAACAAATAAACTTCTAGATACAGAAATCCAACATCTGAAATGAAAAATATGCAGCAGAAGGTTGGGCACGACAAATAGAATAATAATATTGGAGACATAGAAAGAGTAGTTACCAAAAATGAAACACAGAGGTGGGGAAGATACAGCATCAGTGTACGTAGGATAGCTTCAAATAGTCTAGTCTAAGTAAAATTGGATTTTCTGACAGGGACATAAAATGAATTTAAAGAAAAATTGTTAAAATAATCTGAGTTAAATGTAATTATAATCTAACACAATGAAAAAGTCTTAAGGAATTCTAAAGACAAGAACATATGGAAAATATTTCACCAAGAGAATTAAACAAAGTGCTTAGAACCAGTGACAAGAAGACAACTGTGAAAAGAAAGAGTAGCTTGTCACCACTAGCATAAAGGCAAAGTTTGGCCAAGAGATTATGGACTGAAACCTCCAAACGTGTGTGAGAAAATAAATATTTCCATTTATACCACTTCATCTCAGGTATTTATTGAAGTAACAGAAAACTAACACTTCTCTGAAACACTAATATTAGAAGTCAGAGAGAGTCAAGTTGGAAAAGTTTATGAATGTAAGAGGAAAGACAGACAGAGGATGGAAGGGTAGGAGTGATGTTGATGCAGTGCTCATATACAAAGTTATTAAAAATAATTTAATAAGTAAAAGGAAAACCAAAAATTTCTCTCTTGTCTCTCTTCCTGGTCCCCCCCTTACACAGCCCCTCCCCCCATATCCCCTGCCAGAGAAAGGTACTTTATTAGCAGATTAAAATTAAAATATTGGGACAAGATGCATTATGTTAGCACAAATGAAAAGAAGACTGGACTCTTTTTTAGTATCAGAATTATATGTAAAGAGCAAATAATACTGATGTGATTAAAGGAGATTATTTCATAACGCTAAAGGGGTTCATTCATAGAGAAGTATGATAATGTAAAACATCTATAAAGCAATATCTCAGATTTCAGGCAAATGAAAACACCTTAGAAAGGACTACAGTTACAAACAGAACAGAGAGAAGAAGTAGATGCAACAGAAAATGAGCACACATTGACAACCAGTCTGAGTTAATGACATTCTAATAAGCAACAATAGAATGAAAGGCTTCTAGGCTTCCTGGTAATATTTACAAAGACAGACCGTATTCTGGTCTATAAAATGAAAAGAATGTTGAAGCTGACACAAGAGGATAGTGAGTCCAGCC